ATATATATATCTAACTAACGTGTGTCCTAACTTGGACACACGTTGAAATCGGCGAAAATACTTTTGAGTTATCAAGAAAATAAAACATATTTCCAGTAAAACTGTGAAACCTCATTAATCGGAAACGAAGCAAGGTAGAACATCACCTGGAATTAATGACATAATTTATGATACACCCTGTATAGCTCAAGGGACTTTATTCTTAATTCTACTCGAACTTTCCGAAGGTGGTTGACAATGTTTCGTGGTGCATGTCATTAGTTCGGACTTCCATTGTCTAATATGATATAAATTGATTTGAAATCCCTGAAAGGATCTGTAAAAAATTGAAAAGATTAGCTGAAATTTAACAAATTTTATCGAGCAAAAAACTGAAATTAGAATGAAGAATGAAATAACATACAATCAACAATGAAAATATCAAAAAATTGAACTATTAACACGAGCTGAAAATTAAAAATTATTAACAAGGAATGAAAATTAAAAATTAAAAGATTCCAAACCAAGTTACTCCACTACAAGTAATTTTTTTTTTGGTTGTTGCTTGTTTGTTATTTCATTCTAATTTCAGTTTTTCACTCAATAAAATTGTTAGTTTTTAGCTAAGATTTTTAGTTTTTTACAGATTCTTTCAGGGATTTCAAATGAATTGATATAATATCAGACAATGAAATTCCAAACTGATGAAATCTACTCGAACTGTCTGACAAATTTCGTAGGAATCACAAATCACACACAAACTCATATAACGTATTTGAAATCCCCGGAAAATTTTGAGGATATCATTTCCATTGATTCTCTGGTGATGAATCAACGAATGGAATGCTCAGTTTTTGAACCAAACTGAAAAATATAAAACCATTTCTTGTGGTCCTCACTTCATAAACAATGAAATGAAAATAAGAGTTTTTGGAAAAAAGTCTTTTGGATTTCAACTGTTACCGACAGAATAATTCTTCTGAATTTGCTTGTCTGTCTGCCTTTTTCATTTCTTCCAAGTCCCTGGAAAACAATTCTGTCTCATGTTTTCTGGTGACAAACGTCGGGAAACACATATAGTAATTCATAGCTGAGTTTGTTATTACATTGACTACACAAATCGATGAAAGAAACTGAAGGTCCACATTAAAAAAATGAGGTGATGGTGGAATATAATATACGAAATGTCGTCATACAAACTGGCTTCCATCAGATTTTAACAAATATGAAACAATATTGAAAGTAGGAGGCGAAATGAAAGCGATACAGCCAAAAAACGAAATTTGACAATTCTAGTTTCAGACGAATATTCCAAAATTAACCACTGATATTCTCGATCTGAAAAGAGATCATTCTTGTTTTCCAAAATGGAACATTTTTGTCCGACCTATTAGGTCTTACCGTTTACGAAATAGCAATAGTGGAACCAGCTGAAAGCTTTGAGAGTCTTGAGCATAAAGCAGTTGCTTTAATTTTGAAGTGAAGTTTTTCTGCAGCTTCACTTACCACTTTGAGAGTCTTGAGCATAAAGCAGTTGCTTTAATTTTGAAATGAAGTTTTTCTGCAGCTTCACTTACCACTCCCCACCATCCTTTCCTATATACAAAGTTGTCTCTCCAGGTCAGGGTCTTCATTCTTGGCATATTATTTTGTACCATTTTGAGCCACCTCTTTCGCAGTCTCCCTTTCTTTCTATTTCCAATTGGTTTTTATTTCAAATCATTTTGTTTATTTTGTTATTTGGCAATCTATTAACGTGTCCTATACATTTGATTCTTCAGGATTCCATTACTGCTAATTTTTTTAAGATCTCCTTCTCCAACTCTCCTCTGTATTTACTCCTTCATATATTGTTCGTAATATTTTTCTTTCCCATCCCCAAATTTTCTTCCTTGCTTTTCTTCAGAACCCACGTCTTGCATGCGTATACGGGTATTGCTGTTGCCTTGATTACTGACATATATATACATATATAATCTTGCCTTATAGCATCTCAACATTCCATATATTCGATTTCCTCTCGTGATTCCTGCTTCGTGATCATTTTCTCTCACTTTCATCCGTAAATATGTGAACTCTTTGAAGTTCAACCTTCAATTCTGTTTCACTACATTTAATCACATTAAAAAACAGGCGGACTCAGGCTGACCCAATAGTTCTATTTAAATTATTGTCAGGCCAAATCAATTCCCAAAGAATAACAAGGGATAATAGAGATATTTTCGTTGAGAACTAACATTCCTACCAATTATTAATTTAATAGTCCATTGTCAAGAATGTTAAGGGAAGCTGATGTATCTGAAGTCTGCAGTCACTTACGTATTTAGTCTATAGATGTATGCCTTGTATGTTTGTTAGTTTTTAGTGCTGGTGTAAGTTATAATTGTTTTATTTAGCATTAAGTTTTCAGGTTGCTTTCTATTTTATATATTTCAATATTCATACGACTTTTGTAACTGTTTTTGAATTTAGGTATATTTTCATACATATATATTTTACAACGTTATAACTTAAGGTTTTCCCGTTTATACCGAATAAAAAATATCGTGATTATTACTTTTATAATATCTCTGAATTATCGGTTGTTTTTCTTTGCAAAGCCCAAAATTCGACTAGTTTGGTATATATGTGAAACAAAAGTCAACTTTTGATCGGAATTAAGGCTAAGGTATTCCATCTCATCAACCCGACGGATGAGACTGTTATCAATTCCATAAGTGAGTCGTATTATACGTTCCTCTCTATAAAAAGACAATACATGACATTCAGCAATGATGAGATTCAAACGATTTTCGAAACACCAATCAAATATCAAATCTAATTCCTTCCGCGATTCCAGCTTCCATTCCCCGATCATCGTGATCATTGTCTCTCACTTTCATCCCTAAATATATAAACTATTTGAAGCTTTGATCCTCCCCAATTGATACCTTCAATTCTGTTTCACTGTCTTGCTTTGTATTTCCCATTACCATGTACTGTATGTTTTCCTGGTTGATATCCAGTCCAAATGCCTTTGCTTTTCAGCTTTATTTGTTATGACTCGTCCCAGTTCTTTTTAAGATTTATTGTGAAAGAAACAAACAAAGATGGAGGTGACAGTATCAGTCTAGATTCGTGAATAATATATCAGAACGCTCACTCCCCATTTCCCTTATTCCTTGGATGATTGTCGTCAAATATACCCCGTAAGACATGTAAATCTCATTCAAGAATTTTCCCTGATATCAGTTTGGAACTCCCACCAGAATTCATTGCGAACTTGAAACTTTCCTAACTCCGACCCGATCTTATCCACTTTACAGCAGGAATAATAACCTACTGAATAATTCCGTTTTAAGTTCATCTTCTAGCCGGTATGTCCTTTGGTCGTAGAAGGTAAAATAACGGTTTTTCTGTTACAGAAAACCCGTGACTGACGACGTGAACTGGCCGCTATACACAAAGGACCAGCCCCAGTATTTTATTTTCAACGCAGACAAAAACGGAATTGGTAAAGGACCCCGAGCTACGGCGTGCGCTTTCTGGAACGATTTCTTACCGAAGCTTCGAGATAATTCAGGTAAAATTTCACCTAATGCAGAGCTGAGCCAACGTAAACCCTAGTTTGCTATAAACTATTTTCCTGCGAGAGGATGTCTTAGAGGTTAAATTGATTTCAGTGGCGTTCAGGACAAACATTATCATGCGAATTCACTAAATAGATTGTTCAGGGTATTTCAGGAAGTTCTTGGGGGTTTCCACTGATATTACACATAACTGATACAGTTTATGGATGTTATGTTATGGATGAACGTGACATTTGTGGCACTTCAATGGGGTTAATGTAATGTTGAGTTGGAAAAAAAAAGGCTGGATACCAAAAAGAAATTGAGTGAAATGTTCGTTGATTATAGTCGGATTGTGTCGTATGGCACGTTAAATGAAACAAAAGAGGTGCAGAATTAAGAAAATAAAATGAAGACGACTGCATGTCATAACATCAACAAATGGTTTTTTTATTAATAAATGACGGAAAAGAAGATGACTAAATTGTATTTTCGTTGTCAATAGTCTAGCATGACGTTTGTTGCACGGGGTAAATGAAATAATAATAATTTATTTGCTCATAGTATTTAGATGTACAACAGGGTGAGTGACAATAGCAAATAAAATATAAAACCCGTAAAAGGTGAAACCTTGTGCATGGGAATGCTACTAAAATGTATAATTTTATTGAAGCATCCCTTGTTAAGATACATCCCCTTAAAGGGGGTACATAAAATTTGTATAACAATTTTTTTCGCAAGCACTAAAGAAGTTATAATATTGACGTTTTGCACTACCAAAAAGACACTCAGCCAGAAATTCATTTGGTTTACTCCATGGTTGTAAGGGGTGGAAAACGCAACCCCTAAAATTTATTTCCAATGTAACTTTTTGTCTTATCATTTGTTTACAATTTAAAAATGTATTTCCGATAGTCTGTTTCATTCTGAACAAAAAATGTCTCCTGGGGTTTTTGCCCAAAATGAACCAGTTCGCAGCAAAAAATTATTTTACGAACAACTACAGAGATACTACATAATGTGAAAATTCAGGACAATTAACGTTACCTGAAAAAAAGTGTGAAGAACACACAGGTCGATGAGTCTTCGCTTTATGGGCAGTTGAAAATCCAATTGTGAAAATATTATGAACCATTTTCGTATTTTCAGTCTGACACAAACATAGACATATTTGAAATATCATTATAGTCTTTCGAAATTTAATTATTTTGACATGATGATAAAACAATGTTCACACTCATGAGTTTTCTAAAGACGCGTTTTGATACACAGTACCTTCTCCGGTCGGATTGTTTTGTTAACATGGGTTGTGTTATTAATTTTTTTCAAGTTCAAATTGAATTTTCGAGACCAGTGGTTCCCAAACTATAAATCGCGACCCACTGGTGGGTCGCGGGAGCAATTTGGGTGGGTTGCGGAAACAGATTAAAACACTTAATACTTTTGTTTTTTTTCCATTTTGGATAAAGGCTAGGAAAGAGTATCCGTGCCTTTCGAACATAGTCTTAAAAGATCTGATGGGGTTTTCAACCACATATTTGTGTGAATGGGCATTCGCCACTTTGGTATATTTAAAAATGAATATAGAAATAGGCTTTGTGTGAAAAGTAACCTGCGTTTGAAGCTTTCAACTTCCAACCCAGATTTAGAATATCTTGTAAATAGTAAGAACCAGCTCCACAAGTCACATTGATCACATACCTACGTCTCATTTTTGAATTTTTTGTATTTGTTTAGTTAAGATTCTGAGTCAAAAGTCATTTTCCGTACTGTATTTTATCTTCAATTATATCATCTTCACCATTATCTTTTAGAGTTGTATTTCTCAATAGTGAATTTTCACGAGAATGATAATAAAAATATCATTAGTTATAATAATTTTACTTAATATTATTTATTATGTGGATCGCGAAGAAAATTCCTGCAATGAAAGTGGGTCCCCAGGCAAAAAAGTTTGGGAAACGCTGTTCTGCACCATATAGAGTAAAACCACCAGTATGTATTTTTCAAATTGTTGAAATATCTTTTATTAGTTTCAGTTTTACTCCATTTCTACAAAGCTGTGAATTGGAATAATAAAACTGAGTTTTTCGATAATGAATGAAAAATTCTTCAACTTTTGTAAAATCTGAAGCATCCAAATAAATTTATCAACCACAACGAAGCTATTGCTCACTATATTCTGCCCATCATGTCAACCTATATGTATTTGAATTTTTCTCATTAACGATACGAGAACTATCTAATTTCGAAATTACTACAAAAACGAATGATCATCAGTGAATGGTGAATCCCATTACATTCCACCCCTTCAATAGAACTATCTGAACATACCCATAACTGATACATATTGGTAGTGATTTTGTCATCAAACTGTTGTTCACTTCTTCAATATATCATCACATAAATGTTTCAGAATTCATGAAGATCTCAGAAGAGATATAATTTCACATCTTGATATATTTTTTGTGATCATGATTCTCAATTAAACTTCTTTGTGGTTGTCAGTCTGAGGAACAAAATTTAACTTTTCCTAAGATCGATTTTTTCGAGAAGTTGCCTGAACCGTTCAACTGCTTCAGCTTGAACTCTTTCGCAAGTAGTTCTACTTGGACTTAGTTGTAAATAAAGCGACCACTGAGTGGAAATTATCGAAAAAGCAAGTAATATAAAACACGATAATCATCAGTTCGTGTGATGATTTAACACTCACATTCCACACTTTGATTGATAATATTCAATCTATCTTAGAAAAATGATTTCAAACATACATTTTCAGCAATAACTTTCTTGATAACTATGAGCATTGCTGTGACAAAAGTTTTGAGAGTTGTATATTTGAAAAAAAACTGGTGGGGTTGTCAAAAACAATGTTTCATGTACGTTTCGTTATGATAAATACCTACCTCTTTAAATTTTCGAAAAGTAGATGCCCAAAACTACAAGAAAGTCCATAAATTGCAAAACATACTGTAAGTTTTTGGACAAAAGAAAATTTTTGCTTTCTACTTCTTCATCTTCATGCAAGAAAATGTGGAAATCTTCCAAAGAAACGAAAAAAGCAATCAATCTCAAAAACTCTTCTTATACGAAGATCTGTTAGAATCTGAAGATGTGTAGATCATGCAAATAAGTAACTTTCACACACAAACTGCAAAACAAAAGCCCTCTCGAAACAACTCCTTTCACATAAACATTGAATTACACGAAAGAAAAATTATTCGGAAACGAATATTTTTATATGAACACTGTTATACTAAATTGTACGAGAAAAACTTTTCTCTATTAAATTTCTATTACAAAAATGTATTATGGAACTGAATCGGATATCATGTAGAGTATTGTTCCACAATGTAGTGAATTAAAGAAGTGAAATTTCAATCATTTGGAGCAGTGTCATCCTCACTGGTAAACAACCGATGTTTTGCCCTAAGAGAATTGACTCATCAGTTCTTCTGTACTAAATCTGGATAACATTATAAGAAAAAACACTGAATTCATTTAAACGCTTCCGGCTCACAACTACAAATATATTCCTAATTCGAAAACCAAACAACAACTGAACTCCGTTTCCCACGAGTCGGTAGCTCATGTAAAAAAAATTACAATAAAAACCTTTGTTTTTATGCATGATCCGATATTCAACACCTTCTCCTTTCAACAATAGCAGTCGGAAACCAATATCATTAGATATGGGAACATCTAATAATTTCAGGAATATATACAAATATATACATATATACACAAATTATACAAATATACAATGAATATATTACAAACAATTTCAATATGTCAATTTATCTGGGGGCCGAATCTGACTACGCCGTCTTAAAATTCTATCATTATCAGATTTTATATTTTCCCGGGTAACATCTAATATGTCAGTTACCTCCGAAGATGGGGGAATTCCTTCAATTTTCTCTGAGATGGTAGAGCGAGGTATTATATTAATTGCCTTATCCTCCCCTTCCGTTTCAAAAGTCTTGCTTTCAGTTGATGTTTGTGTCTTTTCCATTTCAAACCTCCCTCTACCTCTACAATATAAGTTCTACTTCCACTTTTCTTTAAAATTATTCCTTCACACCACGGTGACTTTTTCGGTCTGAAATCTCGCACCCAAATCTTTTCGAGTTCACTTAAAATAATATCCTTTTTATAACCATACTATTTTATTTGATAATCCTGTTTTTTATGAACCTCTCTTTCAACTGAAGTAGCATTAATTCGAATCTTGTACGTATTTTTCGTCCCAATAGTAATTTAGACGGTGTCTCCCCGGTGGTAGTGTGTGGAGTATTTCTGTAGTGAAATAAATAGCAATTTATGATATGGTTGATACTTCTTTCGTTATCTTCTTCTTTACCTTTAATTAGGGTTTTTTTATTATTTTAACTGCTGATTCTGCCAACCCATTTGTGGCTCCCATATAATGGGAGCCACAATTATGGCAGCAAACAATGTGTTTTCCTTGACGTTAAGCAGATGCAGTTATTCATAAAGAAAGTTTTTATGCTCATAAGGACCAGATTACTAAGGACATTTTTTGTTATCGGCCATCAGTAGTGATTCTCAGTGAAGCCAGATGCACGAGTGATATTTTTGACTGTGAAATAGCTGTTACTGGATATTCCATTCTAAGATGTAATTCCTCTGGAAGCGATATTAACTGAGACGGAATCAAGTTGTTGATATGTTAAAAATCAAAAAGTCTCAATACTGTGAAAACAAAATTGATGCAAATAGTGATAACTTGCGGGAAATGTGGAAAACAATGAAAATATTGATAAGAGGTGACAAACATCCATTAAATTTCAAATCTATCAATTTTAGTACTAATGGCGCTGTCGTCAAAGCGAGAACGGAGCTACAAGCTGCTAACAACTTCAATTCATTTTTTGTTAAAAGCATTGAAGATATCTCCAATTCTATTGTAAGTGTAAAACAATGGTCTTCTCAAAATCTAAATAATATAGAAACGAGATTTGTTGAATTCGAGAAGATTGATATAAGTAAG